GACAGAGGCCAGGATCCACCCCCACCCTGGAAAACAGGCACAGTAGGGGAGATGTGGGCCTTGCTACCCTCCTGTGGCTGGCTTTCTGGTTCTAGACTTGACTTTCTCATCCCTGCAGAGTTGGTCTGTGGGGGCGGCCTGTTTGCCCAGGGAAGGATGAGTTTTGGGGCTTTCCAAGAATAGTGCTCCCAGGACAGGCATTTCCTCTGAAAAACGTGACTGCTTTGCCCGCATGACCTCTTCAGTGTCAGTGGCCTCTTGTGAGAGGAAGGTGTTGGGGGGGATTGTATTGAGAGTCCTCTACAGTCCTGCAGATAGTCATATAAGTTCAGTAGCCCTTGCACGGGGGAGTTGGGGAGGAGGTGCTCTTGGCCTCTTGTTTAGAAGACACAGATCCTGGCTGGGCTCCTTTAGTGCAGTTCCTCCCACCATCCCCCTAGAGCCCCTGCTGGCTTGGGGAGAGGGTTGGTAGAGTGTGGTGGCAGCTCCTTTCCCACCCAGAAAGTGGCCAGCAGGCAGTAAGGCCGTCATCCTGGAGGGTCCTTCTAGCCACCACCCCCACCCCAGCCATTCCTGCCATCTGTGCATACCAATGCCCAAGCATATCTGTGCAGGCCTGCCTGCATAAGGCCACAGCCTTCGTCCCATAGGCTTTGTCCCCAGAATTAAAGCAAAGCTGGGACCAGGGTAGAAGGTCAGGACAGAGAGGGCCACCTGTGGCCACATGGGATGCTGTACTCAGCTGCCACCTGCCACCTGTCACAGACTAAAACTGTACCTATAACTTCTGCAGATGGTGGACAAGGGAAATTAAATGGGTCCCTCTCTGGCTTTGGGTTCCCAACCAAACCCAAGCCAAGGCTGTCTTGCAACTGGATCAAATCAACTTCCAGACCCAACTTTTCTACTCACTCCCAAGTGACTTCATCTCAGAAGCCCCAGCTTGAAGGTTTCTCTACCTTCAAGCTGGGGCTTTACCTCATGGGGTTTCCAAGGAATAACTGTGTGGGATATGTTACTGCCACAGCATCTGGTATCCAGCAGGGGCTGTCAGCCTCATCTTGTCCCCTCCCCACTGATGTCTGACCTGACTCCTGTGCCCTCAGGAGGGGATTGTTTGAACCAATCTTCATGCAAGTCCTCGAGCCTGAGGCCCACCTCAGCCTCCTCCCTGCCCTGGGCTTCCACTGCCATCCACCAAGCTTGTACTCAAATTCTAAGACCTGCTGGCATATGCTCTTGCCCTGCCTCCAGGCAAGCCCATCCCTCCCCTGGTGTGACAGAGGTTGATTATCTACCCACTCTTCAAAGCCTCTAAAGAGAAGATTCTCAAACTACCCCAGTTACCTCCCTAGGATCCATATGCTAATAATTGTCTACTCCAGCCCATACCTTTGGCCTCATAGGGGTGATGGGGAGGCCTCCCTCCATTCTCCGCCCGGTTCATGGTCTTGTTGTTCTCCAGTTCTGGTGGGGGCTCAGGGTACTCTCCCAGCTCAGGGATGATTTCTGTGGCATCGTTCTTGAAGGCTTGCCATCCCTGGCCCTCCACAGCACGGAAGGCTTCATGCACCAGTAGGCAGACAAGACACAGGGCTAGAGAGAGCTGCATGGTGCCAGCTAGAGGAGAGCACCCAGCCTTCCAATAGCACAGACTCCAGTCCCCAGCCTAGACACAGTCGCCTTTTTAAAGCCCCCTCTGCCTCATTCCAGCCAATGAGGTGGGCTGGAACAGGGCTGGTCCCATGATTCCCTCAGCCCCTGGTGGGGGGCGGTTAGGAGGGTATGCTCAGAATAAGCCCTCCCCAAAGACTTCTCAAGCTCAGCAAACTTCCAAATTGCTGCTGGCACTCCCAGGTGACCCAAGAGAGGGAGGTGTGTGAGGCAGGGACAGAGCCAGCTCTCCCAGCACCTCCCACGTGTAGGCGGCTGCGGTTTTCAGATATCAAAATGAGCTGGGCTTTTAATTGTCTGGCTCCCTGGGCCCCTCAGGCATTCTCAAAACAAACTGTGGACTAGCTTAACAAAGGAAACATAGGGCTCTGAATTCTCCAGAGCTGAGCCTAGCTGATCCAATTTCTCAGACCAAGTTCATTTGTCACCCCACTAGCTAATGGTCCTAGGGATGTCCGTTTGCCCCCTGCCCCCAGGCAGAAGGATGCTTTTTGTTTGGGGGTTCTGGGGAACTGAACCCAGAATCTCATGCTTGCTAGGCAAGCACTCCTACCACTGAGCTACACAACGTCCTTGGGAAGGATGCTTTTAAAGAAATTCTATTGACTGCAATTCTGGTGTAGCTCAGCTCTGACGATTCTGATGAAGAAATATTTGGGCTTTCTCCTTGAGACCAGAAAGAAAAGTACAGGGTCCACAGGCTCTGGGCAAGAGGCTGAGCATCTGGTGATAGGCTGAGGATAAGCAGGTCACAGGGCTCTTGGAGGTAGAGCACAGAGACCTCCTCTCCTGCTCTTTAGGGACCTGTACACAATCACAGGCAGTTCTTAGCCAAGGAACTCACTGTGGCTTGCAAGCTGATGTGCCAAAAACAGTTCCTTTCCTGGCGAGGCTGGGGATGGGCAAAACAGAATCCAGCTTCTTAGCAAAAGCCAAGGCCAACGCTTTTAGTGCTGACATAGTTTTCCCCTTGTTCCTCAGTTCATTACATTTTTCGCATGCGTGTGCGCACGTGAAATGTGCATGCTTTTGTAATGCATACATGTGTACACATGTATGTGTGGATACGCATGCCCCCTGTGCACAAGCCTGTAAAAGCCAGAGGAGGACTTTGTTCTATCACTTTGTCTTAATCCCTGAGATAGAGTTAAGCTATTTAGGCTAGGCTGGCTGGCTGGCTAGTGTGCTTGCTCCCAGGAGCCACCTGTCCCTGCCTCCCAGCACTGAAGTTGCAGGCACTTACAGCCATGACCTACTGTTTTACACGGGTTTTGAACTCAGGTCTTCATGCTTGCGGAGCAAGCACTCTTAATCACTGAGCCATCTCTCCAACCTCTCTTTACATTTTCAAAACCAGCTCTGAGTCCTAGATGGAAGACCCAAGCAGTACATACCATGAGTATGTTTCAGAAAGCCATAGCAACAGGGCCATGCCACTGGGTCGGGGAGAGGCACGGGACAGGAGGGTTCACACCTGAGGTGCAAGAAAAGAAAGGAGGGCTGGTGGAAGCCTTCAAAGGAGACAGATTGCTGGAGGATGCCCCGAGTCCTGAGGAGGGCTGGAGAGAAGGCTGTGGTCCACCTCACCTTGGTATGCTAACTGGGCAATGAATCAGCACTCCACCTGCAGAGCCTCTGAGGGGCTTTGCCACCTGCCTCAACTTGTAAGTGGTCTGTCCATCTGTGGCCAACCGCCTGCCCTCCTCCTTTCATCATCCATCACCCACACATAAATGCAGCTGCTCTGACAGTTTTACAAGGCAGACAGAAGCCCCTGCAGGAAGGGCGCTCTCTGATACCTGCTTCCTAAGTCAGTTTCCTTCGGGGCAGACAAAAACAGCTGTGGCCATTGTTGGGGGTGATCTATCTCTCCCACCAGAGCTGTGGTGTTGTGAGAAGGTGGCCCTCGGTGCCCCCTCCCTTTGTCTGTGACCTCCAGTCTCCTTTTCCCCTGCTCTGGAATGCAGACCATTAACCCTTTCGGGGCCAGACAGCTGCCTTGTGGCTTGGGACTTGGGCGAAGCCAGTTCTGTTCCTGGGTTCCCTGAGCATGCAGCGTGTTGCTCACAGCGCCACCTGCTGGTGGGAGATGCGGGACCAGCCGCCTTTAACCAAAACGCGGAGCGTTCTTGGAACACTTCTGTCCCCTACTGGACAGAGAGGATTTTATTTCTTTTCTTTTCTTTTCTTTTTTTTTTAATTTGGAACTGGAAACAGCGTTAATAGAAAAGAGAATATCTAAATGCCCCCGTCCCTCTGGATAACCCTCTGGTAATGGGTAGTTTAAAAACCTGTCATTTCTCAGCGTTAGACAATAGTCCCAGAGTCAAAACCCAGAGTTTCAGTGGACCTAAGAGGGGAGGGTATTTGTGATCTCTTGTTCTCAGTGGGACAGCGGTCAACATTCTTATATGAAGTAATATTTGTTGTTGTCCGGCTAGTTTAGTTTGTTTTTACTTTTTGAGACAGGGTCTTGCTCTGTGACTCAGGCTGCTTTCAAACCCCTGCTTCCGTCTCTCAGGTGCTGGAGTTACATGTGCTCTGCTACTAACTTTTACATTTTTGAGATAACTGTAAATTTACAAGTACTTGCAAGAAAGAATTCAGAGCGAATATATGTAGTCTCTACCAGTTTCCCTGGATGGCAACACTGCACAAAAGGTGTGAGCATAAGATCACACCAGGGTGTTGAGACTGACACAATGCACCTTCTTGCTCAGATCCTCCCAGATTTACTTGTGTTCATGTGTGCATGCATGCGTGTGTGTGTGTGTACACTTGTATCATGTTCATATATTCACTGGTACACAATTAGATAAAGAATGCTTGGTGGTTCCAAGGGTCCATCCATATGCCCTTTTATTATCTATTTGTTTAGATTACAAATTTTTATTCATTAGTTTTATGTGTATGAGTGTATTGCCTGCATGTAAGTGCACCCATGTCATGCAATGCCCGAGGATGTCAGAAGAGGGTATCAGATTCTCTGGAACTGGAGTTATGAACGGTTGTTAGCTGCCATCTGGGTGCTGGGATTCAAACCCGGGTGTTCTGCAAGAGCAGTCAGTACTCTTAACTGCTGAGCCATCTCTCTAGTCCCCTACTTAGATTTTTTGAGACAAGGTTTCATGTGCCTCAGGCTGGCCTTAAATTCACTATATAGTTGAGGCTGATCTTGAACTCCTGATCTTCCTGCCTCTACCAGTGTTGAAGTTACAGGTGTGTGCCATCACACTCTGTTGATCTTTTGAAAAAGATGTTCACTTTTTTAAAAGAGGAGGTCTTTTTCAAAACTCTTCTCATCCACCCTCTTCTATTCCTAACTCATGGAAATCACAGATCTAACCTCTACTAATACAGATTTTCAGTTCAAAAGATGTTATGCAGATGTAGCTAACATGTGAGTTTGGCTTTTCTTCCTTCAGTGTAATTTCCCAGAGTTGTCCAGTGTGTGAGTATGATGAATATCCACATTAGAGTGCCTTACGAAGGATTTTCACTGTCCCCCAAATTCCCTATGCACCACCTTTCCATCCCACCCCAACTCCTGGCAACCACTGATTTCTTTCCTGTTTCTATAGGTTTCACCTTTTCCGGAACATGGTGAGTTGGACTTACACAGTACGTCAGACTTGCCAGACTGGGTTCTTTCACCGAGTCACAGACACTTACATTCCAGTCAAGTCTTTTCACTTTTCATGGGGTGATAGTTTCCTTTTGGTGCTAAATAATATTTCATTGTCTGGATCTACCACCCTTTAGTGGCTTACTGAAGGATATCACAATTGCCTCCAGGTTTTGGCAGTTAGGAAAAAAGCTGCCATAAACACTTGGGTGTGGGTATTTGTGAGGACATACATTTCCAAATGACTTTTGGATAAACATCAAGGAGCAGAGGGGTAAGAGTGCTGAGTCTCTGTAAGGAAGTGCCAAACTGTCCTCTAGATAGCCACCGCCATTTTGTTCCCATCAGCACTAGATTAGCAAGTCTTGCAGCTCCGTGTCTTAGCCAGATGCATCTCTTTTCCCTGGCATGAGTCTGGGATCCTCCTGGGAAGATGTGACATTGGGTCCCAACTCTGAAAGGCCTGATTTGGAAAGGAAGTTATGCTCCTAGGACTGCTTGGAATCACAGAATCTTGGCACCTCTAATGTTCTCTCTTGGTTGGTTCTCAAGGTCTTTGTCTCTGATGAACTGAAACAGGATTCTCCTTGTTGGCTGCATTTAAAAACTACTGCTAGGGGACTGAAGAGATGGCTCAGTAGTTAAGAGCATTGGCTGCTCTTGGAAAGGACCTGCGTTTAGTTTCCAGCACCCACATGGCCGCTAACAGCCATCTGTAATTCCAGTTTCAGGGGATCCAACCCTCCCCTGGGGCCTGCACACACGGTGCACTTAGGTACACACAAACAAAAATACTCATATACGTAAAATACATTTTTTAAAAGACTAAATAAAATCTGATGCCAGGCTGGCAATCAGTGATGAAGGTGCTTTCTGCCAAGCCTGACAATCTGACTTCAATCCCCAGGACTCATGTGCTGAAAAGACAACACCAACTCCTGCAAGTAGCTCCACATGTGTGCCATGGCACACACACTTGCATACATACATACACACACAGAAAATAAGTTTTTAAAAAACAAATTGATGTTGCTCCCATGGGTAGGACGTGGTAGGTAACCACTGCTTCCAGGAGATTGCTTGCACTAGCAGTTGTCAAAACCATCTTGGTTTGCAATTTCAAACTGTTCTCTCTGAAGTTCAGGGTCTCTGCTGAGCTGGAAATCTCTTCATTCAGCAGATTTCTGAGAGAACCACAGTCCCAAAGAGCTTGTGTCACTCACTGTCCTACTTAGAACAGAAGCCCAACAGTAGCCTAAGCCCTAACAGAATCACACTTCAGCTTCCTCTGGCCTGAAAGACCTGGTCCTTGG